TGCCCCACAACATCCTTCTCTCTTAATTGGAGAGATACGGATGCCCCAGCACAGGAGAGACATGGACCTGTTGGAGCAGGGCCAGAGGAGGCCACAGCAATGCTCAGAGAGATAGAACCCCTCGCCTGTGAGGACAGGCAGAGAGAGTTGGGGTTGTTAGCCTGGAGAAGAGAAGGCTCCGGGGAGACTTTATTGCAGCCTGCCAGTGCTTAAAGGGGGCTTCTAAGAAAGATGACGACAGACTTTTTATCAGGGCCTGTGGTGATAGGACAAGGGGTAATGGTTTTAAACTAAAAGAGGGTAGATTTAGACTAGATCGAAGGAAGAAATGTTTCGCACTGAGGGTGGTGAAACCCTGGCCCAGGTTGCCCATAGAGGTGGTGGATGCCCCATCCCTGGAAATATTCAGGGTCAGGCTGGACAGGGCTCTGAGCAACCTGCACTGGTTGAAGATGTCCCTGCTCATAGCAGGGGGGGTGTTTTATGACCTTTACAAGTCCCTTCCAACCCAAACTATTCTATGATTTGTGGGGTTGGAGAGCAGAGCTCTTGAGCTTAGGAAGGTGTTAATGGCTATTTCTTCCTGGAGAAAGCTCAATTTACCACTGTTCTGAGCAAACAGTGTCCATGTGCAGGAGCGCGTTAGGCTGGGAATGGCTAACATGTGCTGTGGCCTTTAGGGACATGTTAGGATGTTAGAGGTCTGCCAGGTGCTATGCTGAGGTTGTCTTTTCTCCAAGCTGATGATGAGCTGTTGAGAGAGGAGCTACAGATACCGAACGTGGCAGTGGACCAAGAAGATAAGCCACACAAGGCAAAGGTGGCAGTAAGGTCAGGAAAAAGAGACCAGTGTTTCAGGCACCATGGGTAGGAATGCATAGCTAGTGAACTAGCACTTGAGCAAGGCTGTGGGTAGAGTTGGGACTGGCTCACCTGGAATTGGCTGCTTGGGCTAAGTCTCTGCTGGTGTTCCCCACCTGGACCCCTGTACTCTAGCTCCGGTTAAGGTGTCTCTCATCTGCTTCTGACACTGCAGCTAGCAAAGATGCCACAGCTGTTGGTAATCTGGGTTGGGAATGAAGAAAATTAATTTAGTAAAAAACTCACTGGGGAGAAGGAGGTGAGACGGAGGTGAGACCTAGTGAAAGAGAGAGGTGGGCTGTCAGCTTGTGTATTCAAACTTCCCTTCCAGCTGGGTTAGAAACCCATCAGTTTCTAATAATGCAATTCACAGTCCCTGCCATGTGCTATCCTTGTCAGGGCCTCTTCTATGAGAAGCTCTTGCCTGTCTCAGAAGTGAGCCTGGAAAGCTCTTCTGAACTGACTTTTTGCCACAGCAAGTTGCTCCTGAGCAGCAGAGAAGGTATTACTGAAAGTGGCTACTGCCCCAACCCATGTGCTGTGGTACAAGATCAGTCTTGAAAAGGTTTTCCTTCAAAAGTTTCTCTAACCACAAGAGAGTCTCTAAGCTGGTCCCCATGTCTCATGGCTCTCCTTGTGAATGAAGGCTTCAGCTGAGTAATGTTGTCTTGAGAATCAGACATGCTCTGCTTATTCTTTCCTTGGAGCCTGGTCTGAAGCTCTGTGAAGTCTCTCTGCTACCTCTGCTTACAGGAGGGTCTATTTGTGCTTGCTGGAGTAAAGGCTTTCCCAAAACAGCAGCAGCCGGCTACCACAGTTACTGCATTAACCTTTTGCAAGCTAGCAGGATCTAGCTGCTGGTCCTCCTTATGCTCAAAGTTCTTTTGGATCCCTCGTTCCTTTCATCTACTGTATTGTAGAGGTGTGTACTTTGTTTTTGGCTTCAATCCAGTGTAGCAGCTTCTGTATACACCATAGGTTTAACAATAGAACAAAACCAGGGTTTATTAATGCTTAAGGTAGAAAATTAAGAGCTAGTAGTTCAAGACTTGAAAACAAAGTGCACAGTAGGGCTCCAGTAGCTTACCTTATGAAGGTGGCAGAACTTAATACCTCATGTTACTGTATATGACCAACTAATAATTTGCACAAAATCATGGTTTTCTGGGTAGTCTGACTTGATGGGGCCATATGCTACATCTTTAGGCTTGTAGCTTGCACAGATGACTTTGCTAGTAACAAGGTACTTTCCCTAAATCTGTCTTTTGGGGGCAGACATGCTTTATCACGCACATGAGCATGTATAAATGGACACGCTTGCATTACTGTTGGGCTAGGGATTCTAGTTACAGCACCCTTGCTCTGTCCCACATCATGAACAGATTTCCACCTTGTCTCTTTATACCAGCTTGGGTAGCTGCTGTGTGGCTGGGTACCTCAGTTTTGTTTTAACATCTCTCATGGGGAGATGGAGTTATCCATTCAACCTTGTTCTCCTTAGTTTGTCCTTAATTACTGCTGCTTGTGGGGAAGGTTCGGTGCCTAGAGATGTACCTGGGTTGGTTGCTTGTGTGCACTCTAGGGACTGTCTTCCCAAAAGCCAGTGAATGTCAGCCTCTGACTCCATGCAAACCTGCAGACACGACTTGATCCTCTGAGCTCCCCTGTGTCTCTGAGTATGAGACAATCCAACATGTTTGACGTGCCCTGTTATATCATACAAGAAATATGCTGTAACCTTTTTTATTTCGCTCTCTTCATCTTGGCCCCTGACACAAAGCAGGTGTAATCATAAAAAATAAAACTAATCTCTTGCAATAAGAGCGACAATGTTTAGGAGACGACAGATCACTGAAAAAAAAATTGCAACACATTTTTTTAAAGATGTGCATTCTCTTCTCTCCAGTCAGCTTTGAGTTGTGGGATTGCACATGATCCCCTTCACTGTGACCTTTGAGGACCCTCTTCTTCCTCACAAAGAGATCCAAAGCTTCTGAGGAAGAACTTGCTAAAGGCACTGAAATCACTGGGACCAGAGGACTGGGTGCTGCTGCTCTGTGCATCAGACGGGACCTGTGCCCCTGATGTGAAGGTATTTATGCAAAACCAGTGAGGAGGAGCCTGGTTTTTTCCCAACCAGACTCTGCAGCCCCCTATGGCATGTGCAGTGAGTGGGCTCAGTAAACTGGATTTGAAGTCAAAGCCTTGTGCCAGTAGCTGGACAACTCCTGCCGATGACAGTGCTGAGGGGACAGATGGTCCTGACGCCCCTCCTGTGACCTGTCAGGCAGAGCAAGCAAAGGACCTCTTCTGCTCCGGGACCAGGGCAGAGGCTAGAGCCCTGTCAAACACAAAGGAAAGGCTCTGCCGGGAGGAGGGGGGTGTATATGTGGTTAGTTGTGTTCTGGGTTTTGTTTCTGGGTTTTGGGTTGGGTTTTTTGTTGTTTGGTTGGTTTTGTTGGTTTTTATTTTTTCTTGTGGTGGGGTGTTTTTGGGGTTTTTGTTGTTAGCCATGGGAATGGGAGGAAATCTCCAGGGCAGCTGGTGCAAAGGAAAAAGTGCATGTCCACTCAGCCCAAGGCCTGTGAAACTGCCCGAGTGTGAAAGCACTGCCTGCCCTGTGCCAGTATTCTGCATGTGATGGCTAGGGACCTGGCCTCTGTCCCGCAGTCAGGGTATTCCTTCTAGATGCCTTTCCTGGATAGTTTTAGGGTGTGTGAGTAGTGCTGTGCGTGAAGGACTAAGCTTGGGTTCTCTGTCCAAGCCCATGGCTGGGGGAAGCATGATGCCATTGGTTCCAGTGGCAGGAGCAGCAGGAGGTAGAAAGACAAGTTGGAGGGAAACTAAGAGTTCTCCTTAGTTTCTTCTTTCCTTCATCTCAAAGAGAAACCAGCCTTCTCTGTACTCCAAGTTCCCCAAGCTGGGGCTGTTGCACTGAGCCCTTCATCTGGCCAGAAGAGACCGGCTATTTGTCATGCTCTCTCCACCCTTCCTGCCATGGTGTCCTCTCATGGGCTCTCTGCTTTTTTCAGACCTGGCAGTGACTGATCCAAAAGTGAGATGTTCTTACCAGCAGGTCGGACATCAGTTATAGGATTGGGTAGAGAATACTGGCTGAAATTCCCACAGCAGCTAATGAGTCCCTGTTGCCATTGCTGACACTCACAGCCTGGCCAGTTTACAAGTTCTCATGTTGGCAGGGACACAGCAATTAACAGGTTAGTTATAGGAGAGCGATCTGAGGGTAAACAAAGTTTAACAAGTCCCAAACCTATGTCAAGCTACCACAACATCCTAGCTAATGGGATCTACTTTGTCCTGCAGAGTGAGCTGCGGTAACTGGGACAGGGCAGGGGCCTTCAGCATCCTTCATCCCTCCAAATGTGACTCACTATGGCTGGAGGGGTGGATGGCTTAGCTGGGCATACCCTCCTGAAGACACTTTTCAACCTCTTGATGTTTGCATGGGAGATTGTTTTCCTCATTGCCGGGAAACTTCACGTCATACAAGCTGCTTCTCCCAGGGCTTGCCTACATGCCTTCCAGCAATGCCCTCCTACCAGAGCTTCCCTCTCTTCTGCTCAGCTGTGTCTAGGCAGCCAGCCTCACGGACCTAGTGACGATGCTGGGCTCGCAAGAGCAGCCTGTGGGGCTTGTGAGGGTTTTTTTTGGGCCCTGTGGAGTTGCCTGTGGGGAAGGCCTCTGTACTCAGTCCCTTATAGCTTCTGACAGCACTGCTGCTGCAGGACTTTCCCTAGCTAACCCCCACTGTGGTTGCCCCCACCTTGCTCTGTTCTTTCCGAGCAGGAGCACAGTGCAGAGCAGAGGCTTTGCAGAGTAAACAAGCACATAAAGAGTGTTTCGAGGCTGCCTGCTACCCCTTTCCTGTGCCTAATCTGTGCTGGTGATTGCATCCAGCAGCTGAAAATAAGCTCTTGGAAGGAGGGGAGGTGGTGAAGGGGGGCTGCCAAGCAGGACTATTTATACTGGGTGAGTCAGGCCTGTACCTGAATCTAGCCAGACACCGCAGAGCTGGAACCCAGAAGCAACTTGCAAAGGACATAGCCTTGGATAAGGGGCTCTTGCCTGCAGCAGCTTGTTTACTGTAAGGTTCAGACTTGTCCTGTTTGTTCCCCATGATGGACTGCACCTTTCCCTTCAGCTCTGCCCCACAGGGCTTGCTGCAGCTCGATGAGGAGCAGCTGGAGCAATGGAAGTACTCTCGGCACATAAGGCCCCGACACCACCATAGTGAGCACAGCCTGAGCCCAGTTGGCCAGGGATGCCAGAACAGCCGCTTAGAGCCACTGGAGTGCCGGGATCTGCTGGTGCAGAATGCGCTCTTCACTGGGGACCTGGAGATGGTGCAGAAGTACTTCACCAAGAGCTCAGCCATTAATCTCATCATTGAGACCAAGAGTGATGAGCTGCGCTGGACTAGCAGGAAACTTGGTGGGTGTGCAGGGCTTGGATGTGGGGGGTTGGGAAGTGCCCAGGATGGGGACCAGAGAAAGTGCACAGATACCTGAGAAAAATGTTGAGAGGAATCCCCAGTGGTGGAGACAGGGTGGTGGAAGAGGGACTTGGTGGAAGAGAAGACCTTCTTCCCTGGATGAGGAAGGAGGATTCCAAGGCTGTAGAACAAATGGTAGCAGGCTTGTTGAAGGTGGCCAGAAGCAGATCTACTAGGAAATAGTGAGAGTAGGGCCCTTGGAAGGGCTGTTGGAGAGGAACAACATCAGGACTGTCCTGTTAAAGATTGCTGGGATAGATGTGAAATATATGTGAGGTGGAGAGAGTGCTTGGGTGAGAAGGCATCAGGTGGCATAAGGATTCTTTTTCTGCCTTATGTCTTAAGTTGGGTATGTTACTCCAGTTCATTAGAAACTGGAGGCTGTGACACACTTTGGGAACAGCAGAGAGGTCTTAGCAGTGCCCTCCGGGCAGAGCTTAGCCCATATCCTGAGGAAAAGGCATGGCCGTGCTTCTGCCTTGTAGGCAGCTGCCTGTGGACCAA